TGTTGTTTACTGCCCTGGAAACACAAACCAAAACTGTCTCTATTTTCCGCTTGTTACAACTTGTAATAAAGTTATTACTTCTTGGCTTAACGTGTTTATGACGTATTAGAACATTGTTACAACTTGCTATATTGGTTGTTATAACTGGTTAGGAAGTGTTAAAACTTGTTCGAACGTTGTACCAACGTCGTAGTTTCGGTGTGTGTTTGGCGGGTGGTTACCACGATGGTCTTTGGGCACCATACCAGTTTATTTGTACAAGTATGGTGAATAAAACAGGTAGATATTTATATATAATGTGTGTATATAGCGTAATAACACCACACAGTATTGTTGGAGGAGAAATATTAGTGCGTCTGGCCTTGAGGGCGGCAGCCATCAGCTGACTGTGTGAGGTCCTACGTCTTTGTGCCTTTACTCACCATACAAGCTTAGAGATACAGTTATGGTGAACAAAACATGTAAATACTTATATATAACGTCTGTATATAAGATATATAGCATAATAACACCACACAGTATTGTTGGAGGAGAAATATTAGTGCGTCTGGCCTTGAGGGTGGCAGCCATCAGCTGACTGTGAGAGGTCCTACGTCTTTGTGCCTTTACTCACCATACAAGCTTAGATGTACAGTTATGGTGAACAAAACATGTAAATACTTATATATAACGTCTGTATATAAGATATATAGCGTAATAACACCACACAGTATTGTTGGAGGAGAAATATTAGTGTGTCTGGCCTTGAGGGCGGCAGCCATCAGCTGTGTGAGGTCCTACGTCTTTGTGCCTTTACTCACCATACAAGCTTAGATGTACAGTTATGGTGAACAAAACATGTAGATACTTATATATAACGTCTGTATATAGTGAATTATAGCAAAAACAGTATTGTGGGAGAGTCAGATGACTGGAGGGAGGGTGTGAGTGGCTGGCTGGTACACGGCGGTCACTCCTCATTACTTTTTGACTCATAATAGCTACTTAGTGGTTCATTATAGTGAACAAAACATGCAGATACTTATATATAACCTGTGCTTATAGTGTAATAACCGACAAAGTATTTGTTCACTGATTGATGAACATAATTGAATCAACAATATGCACACCATATTTTTGAGTACAGCAATGATTCACTCATTTTATTATATAAATATATCAAACTACACACTATTGAATAATATTACAGCAAAAAAATATGAAAAATCAATCAGAGACATTGAAATAATTAGGTAATTATCTCTTTGTGGCAACTCCGGCCTGACAGCTGGCGAGCAACAGACCACCTGGGACGCATGCTGAGTCAGCGCCTATAATTTGCCAGACTTCCCCACCCTATAGCGGGCAATATATGCCACTTACGATTTTTTAATTATTTTTCCCGTGATCAGTGAACACAAATTAACAGGTTAGGAAGAAAAAATAATTTTTTTTTTTTCAAAATGACATGCGCCTGTGGGGATGACAGGATATTAAACCCCGAGCATGTTAAGGGTTAAGCAAAGAATACAAGACTACTGTACTTACATTATGTATTTATACATTGCACTGTACTATAATTTTTATCATCTGTATTACGTGTATTGTTAAAATAACAAAATTCATTTTTAAAACTTTTACTACGAAACTTTAATTTCATAAAGTTTTCATAAAGACCCCTATACTCTTCTTGGGTCCATATGGGACTACAAACAAAGATTTTATTGTCATAATTGTATAGCTCTTAGTAGCTAGCTACAGCATTGTAGCTGTCAAGCCTTAGGGAATCACACCAGGCCTCCGAGACCCCTCTCAAGCCTACCAGAAGCCAGGACCAAAATCTAATTACAGGCATACCTCAGTTTAAGAGTTTAATTGGTTCCTGGAGACGCCTCATATTCCGAAAACTCGCATTCCGAAGCTAATTTTCCCATAAGAAATAAAGGGAAATGAATTAATCCGTTCCTGACTACCCCAAAAACCCCACATCAAACTAAATGTTTATACCTAATTCATCTAAATAAACCTACAAAACTATGTTCAAGTTATTACTTACCTTGCTGTTGAATGCTGTAGGCGTATGGAAGATGGTGAGGAGGTGGGAGGAAGAGAGGAGTTACTGTTTGGAAGGGGAGTCCCCTTCCATTATCACATCAGGCAGTGAGGACTTCACTGGTATGCACACTCTGGCACATTTTGCCTGCATACCACTAGGACTTGCTTGTTTTACTAAGAATTTGTCTAATGACACTTGTTTTTCCCTACATTTTAACACTTGTCTGTAGTAAGACATCACATTATCATTTAAAAGGTCAATGCAACGGCCTGCTACAGCTTTATCTGGGTGAGTTTTTTCAACAAAACTTTGTAGTTCTTCCCATACTTCACACATTTTCTTAATCAAGAAGGGACATCCTCTACTGCCTCTACTCACAGCTATTTTCTTAGGTTGAACCTTTCCAATGGCTTTCTTGAGACCCATGGCAAGATATATAATGACAACTTTTATGCTCAAATGGCCAAAAAAACGATAAAAAACTGTAAATCCTTGTGAAGAATTCAGGTGGGATAGTCACTGGACACGAGACACTGGTAAACTGAGGCGCGATCGTCATGCCACCACGCGCCAGTCGGCCTGTACACGTATCAACAAACTCGTGTTGCGAGGTAACCTTCGCCTTCCGAGACATATTTTCCGAGGAAATCCTGCTCGTCTTCCGAAAAACTCGCATACAGGGACAATCGCATTCCGAGGTACCACTGTAACATGGTGCTTTGACATCTTCATAAGTCAGCCTGTATGCCAGTCAGGGATTTGGTTCTATTCCAGTTGAACCACTTTGACTTTCTAGTCAACTGGAGGAAGTCCCAGTTGATGCCTCCTCTCTGCTGCAGTAAGAACTTTTTGCAGCTGTGCCTTCAATGCAAGGTGGTGCTGGGGAGGTCCCTGCTTTCCCATTGGGACCTCAAGTGCCACTTAGGCTGTATTTGGCTGATGATGCTGTACCATATTTTCCAGTGGGCATTCTTTTGCTACAGTCGAGACTATTTGGTGTGTGATCTGCAATGCTCATAGAGGATCTTGGTTTGTTATTTACCTTACCTAGGTTATCAGTCCAGTGAAACCATCAAACCTCTATCACTCAGGCTGTTTACAGATGTGTCATATCTTGTATTCAGTTAGTGCACCTCACAGTACAGTAGACCGCAATAGTCTATCTGCTGCAATCTACTGGTGTGTCTGTCTCTTGTGCAGGAGCTCCACAAGAGACAGACAAAAATTTGGTTTGTCTGTCTTTTGCAGAGCTCTGCTCCCTGCCTTCATTCTGATTGTGCCCTGGTGATCCACTGCCTAAACCTGGGGTTTTTGGCTTCTTGGAATTTCATCCTCAGTGTGGTTCCCATTTAGTGTAAGTTGAACACCTTTGCAAATGGCCTTTCTCACCTCCATATGAAGTTGGCGAGTTATCAGTAGATGAGGCCTTTTTCCTTTGTCTTTGCAAGTCATTCGACTGTCCGTCTGTTTGCCTCTGTGTGAAATTGGCAGTTTGCAGTTTATTAGACTGTTTCCAGATTGCCAGGCAGTTGTAGTGGCCCACTTTTGCCTGAACAGGAGGCAAAAGGTCATTGGTCTTCTCTTTACCGGTCAAGAACTTTCTCTCTGTGTGAGATAAGAGGAGACGTTACCAGCTGAATGCTTTTCCTGCCACCCATAAGGCCAATTCAGCCCTTGTTTCTGGCCCTTATGGCCTGTTGTCACAGCCCTCTCTCCTTCCTGAGTCTCCTCTTCTTCCAGTGGGATATGGAATTGACCTGTTGTGCTTGGAGATATTAGGCTGTGTTTTTGTCACCTGTGTATGGGTTGGGTGGTAAACCTGTTATTGCAGAACTGATGTTCTCTAGCCATCTTCTCTCACTGAGGAAGCCCTTCCAGAACTTAAGCATTATATGTAACGAAATGGCATTTTCCAGTAGGCCCTCATAACTACTTTGTTCCCTTTTTTCTCTCTTGTGAGTTGGGGGAAATTTTGCTTAGTGTTATTCATGAATGAGGTGGCTGGCTGGCGGAGACCCACAGTGACCATGACTGTCACCAGATGGCAGTCTGACACATTACGGCTGGGGTGTTTACCCCACAGCATTGATTGTTTGCCTTGTTTTCTTCAGGTTTACTAATTTCCCTTCAAGCAGTTGCTTGTTTTTAAGTGTTTATACTATCTTGTAAATTTTTCCTTGGTCTTGAGTTGATCTCTAATCCCCAAGTTCCCCCTCACTTTGTATAGAGATGCCAGATTCGTGTCTTGGCTTCTAATAGGATTTGATGGATCTCGAAAGCCTGGTGCAAGTCCTAAGAGTTTAGCAGCCAGTGATATAACTCGGTGAACTATGAGAAAAGGGTATTTAATATTATTCAACACTTGGTCATATTTTTTTTTTTTTAATAAAAACAAAAACATTGCTCTTGAACAGAAACTAATTATTCCTGGCAGATTTTGATTTACTGCATCAAGTGATGTTTTTGCTATCACTGCCAAACAGTTTTTGCTACCAAGCCCAAACTTCTGTTCTAGAGACTAGATGTTTAGACTCGTGTTTCAGTGTGTGGAAACCTTTTTTGAATCGTTTGGTAAAGGTAGCATATTGCAGTGAACATTTGCTTTTGTCTTTCAACCATAACAGTATATAGAATCAAAAAGGTTAATGCACTGGTCGTAGGTAACAAGATATGATGTTGGGAATGCATCTCCACATGCACAATATGACCCTGCAGAGCACTCAAGTTTCTAGAAATGCATTCTGTGTGTTAAATGAAGCACGTGTGATTAGATATGGAATAAGTACAGTATGTGGTTACTCAAATGCTCACCACCTCATGACTCCCATGCAATAACTTGAGAGTGGGCTGAACATATTTGTTTTTATCATCTTTCCAATTAAGACTAAGTGCCACTCCACCCCATTAAAGTGGAACATTGGGGGTATTGATAATGATGACTTAACTTAATGAATAACCAATTTACCTCAACATTAGTATGAAGTCGGAGGAGTGAGAGGCCAAACTGTGTATCTTTCCGGAATGGCTGTAAACACACAATCCTCACTTTGTCCCATTTTTCTCTAAAAGCTTCACTACTCATATCGCCTGCAATGAACAAAAATAATGTGAGTATGATTTTTAAATAAATATGGATACTTAAGCATAAAACAAATTTTAACTGTTTTCTATATTTCTATTTTCCACCATTTACACTGCTGGATACCTCCTGGATGGGGTTCTGGGAGTTCTTTTACTTCCCAAGCCTGGCCTGGGGCCTGGCTTGACTTGTGAGAGCTTGGTCCAACAGGCAGTTGCTTAGAGCGGCCTGCAGGCCCACATATCCACCGCAGCACGGTTGGTCTGGCACTTTTTGAAGAAAACTATCTAGTTTTATCTTGAAGATGTCCATGTTTGTTCTGGTAATATTTCTTATACTCGCTGAAAGTATGTTGAACAACCGTGGACCTCTGATGTTTATACAGTGTTCTCTGATTGTGCCTATGGCACCCCCTGCTCTTCACTGATTCTATTCTGCATTATCTTCCATATCTTTCACTTTGGTATGCTGTTATTTACTGTGTAGATTTGGGACCTGGCCCTCCAGTATTCTCCATGTGTATATTATTTGATATCTCTCTTGTCTCCTTTCTAGGGAGCACATTTGAAGAGCTTTGAGATGATCCCAATAATTTAGGTCCTTTATCGTGATTATATATAACATATATATTCTCTGTATTCCCTCTATTTCAGCAATCTCTCCCCGCTCAGACAGGGAAAGTGAGTACCGAGCAGTACTCAAGACAGGACAGCACAAGTGATTTGAATAGTACACCACTGTGATGGGATCCCTGGATTTTAAGATTCTCGTAATCATTTTTTCTGGCTAATGCAATATTTGCTTGGTTATGCTCCCTAAACGTTTGATCGTCAGACATCATTATTCCCAGGCCCTTTACATTCTGTTTTCCTACTATGGGCAGATTTTATTGTGTTTTGTACCTTATATTTGTTTAAAGTTCTCATTTTTACCATACCTGAGTACGTACCTGGAATTTATCACTGTTAAACATCATGTTATTTTCTGCTGCCCAGTCAAAAACTCACTGGCCCAACCTGCTGAAAGAGGCTGAGCTGCAGAAAGACTCCCGGGTTCGGACACTGAGCAAGCAGCGCCTGAAAATAAGGCTAGGCCAGCCACCGTGGGCCCGGTGGGAAAGCACTCTTCGCTGAAAGGATTTCAGCCGAGCCAGAACCCAAAGCAACAGCTGGAACTGGGAAATAAAGGCACAGGAACCCCCCACCTTGACCAGTCCTGCTGGCAACGTCTTCCGTGAAGGCCTTGCAATCAGGAAACCACTACATATTTAAGGAGACGCCAAGACCACACCGATGCAAAGAGGTCCACCACCGGGCACCCATATGTCCGACAAAGTCAAGGAAGGAGGCGGCAATGACTATCCCTCCGGGAAAAAGGGAATGAAGCGCACAGGCTGTCTGCCAGGACGTGGAACACACCCCCTAATATGAATGGCACAGAGAGCGAAACCCCGAGAACTCAGCAGAAGAGCCACCCGAAGCAACCAGCCCCAAAAGCCACGGACCGCAGAGACCCCCACGGTTGAGACAAGGAACCACAGATGCAATCCGAATCTGAGGAATCCTAGGGCACCTGGAAATGAACCTAGGGAAAACCCTAGATACCACATTTGCCGTCGGAAAAGATGCACCACTTGAACACAGGAAAATTAGTTGTTCATATAGAATGATAAATATATATACTATATATATATATTATTTTCCATAACCCTAAGAGAAGAGCTCCACAGCTAAAACTGCCAGAAAACGGACAGGATACTGAGGTCCAGAGGTTTGGGAGCTGGACGAGCATACAGGGCAAGAATACCGAGCACAAAACTGGAGCCCAGAAGAAAAGAAAGGAAACGACCTAATGACCACAGTTTGGAAACACAAGACTAAGAGACATGATAACCACCCAAACATCCCCAGGAGAACATACAAGGTAGGACATGTGGAATATAAAGAAACTACAAAAATGGCATGCAGCAGCTGGAGTGTAACCATGGAAGGATCCATGGAAAGTATGTCATGCAGCAGAGACATCCGGAAGAAAGGAGTGAAAGCAAACAACACATACCAAGGGAATAAAAGGAATTCCAAGATATATAACTTCCTGAGGAAGAGAAAAGAAAGTCTTATGTGTCAATGCAGACAGGACAGGGCAGGAAAAGATGAATGACTCAAGATGAGTAAAACACCTAGAAAGGGACACCAGAGGAAACAGAGTACCCAAAGGAGCCACAGAGACAAGGAAAGAACTTCCCCAGAAGCAAAGTAGGAAAGAAAGGGAATGCAGGATGCAGGGCTGAGGTGAAGGCTACAAACGGAGAAACGCAGATGCTCCAGAAGCGCAGAAATGGGAATCCCAGGAGAAAACACAGGGAAGAGGCACACCTGAAGAGCTGAAGCACGACCCCCACAACCACAACAAGAGGAGCGCAGCGACATACCTGGTTGATACCTGGTTGATGGGGTTCTGGGAGTTCTTCTACTCCCCAAGCCCGGCCCGAGGCCAGGCTTGACTTGTGAGAGTTTGGTCCACTAGGCTGTTGCTTGGAGCGGCCCGCAGAGCCACATACCCACCACAGCCCGGTTGGTCTGGCACTCCTTGGAGGAATAAATCTAGTTTCCTCTTGAAAATGTCCACGGTTGTTCCGGCAATATTTCTTATGCTTGCTGGGAGGGTGTTGAACAACCGGGGACCTCTGATGTTTATACAGTGTTCTCTGATTGTGCCTATGGCACCCCTGCTCTTCACTGGTTCTATTCTGCATTTTCTTCCATATCGTTCACTCCAGTACGTTGTTATTTTACTGTGTATATTTGGTACTTGGCCCTCCAGTATCTTCCAGGTGTATATTATTTGATATCTCTCTCGCCTTCTTTCTAGTGAGTACATTTGGAGGGCTTTGAGACGATCCCAATAATTTAGGTGCTTTATCGCGTCTATGCGTCCCGTATATGTTCTCTGTATTCCCTCTATTTCAGCAATCTCTCCTGCTCTGAAGGGGGAAGTGAGTACTGAGCAGTACTTAAGACGGGACAACACAAGTGACTTGAAAAGTACAACCATTGTGATGGGATCCCTGGATTTGAAAGTTCTCGTAATCCATCCAATCATTTTTCTGGCTGTTGCAATATTTGCCTGGTTATGCTCCTTAAACGTTAGGTCGTCAGACATTATTATTCCCAAATCCTTTACATGCTGTTTTCCTACTATGGGTACATTTGATTGTGTTTTGTACTCTGTATTATGTTTAAGGTCCTCATTTTTACCGTACCTGAGTACCTGGAATTTATCACTGTTAAAACATCACGTTATTTTCTGATGCCCAGTCGAAAACTTTATTAATATCAGCTTGAAGTTTTTCAATGTCTTCAGCCGAGATAATTTTCATACTGATTTTTGTGTCATCTGCAAAGGATGATACGAAGCTGTGACTTGTATTTTTGTCTATATCTGATATGAGAATAAGGAAAAGCAGCGGTGCAAGGACTGTACCCTGAGGTACTGAGCTTTTAACTGCACTTGGACTAGATTGTATATGGTTGATCGTTACTCGCTGAGTCCTGTTTGACAGAAAACTGAGTATCCAGCGTCCTACTTTACCGGTTATTCCCATTGACTTCATTTTGTGTGCTATCACGCCATGGTCACATTTATCGAAAGCCTTTGCGCAGTCCGTGTATATCACATCAGCATTCTGTTTTTCTTCTAATGCTTCAGTGACTTTGTCGTAGTGCTCAAGTAGCTGTGAGAGGCACGATCTTCCCGCTCAAAATCCATGTTGGCCTGGGTTGTGAAGGTCATTGGTCTCCATGAAATTGGTGACCTGACTCCTAATCACTCTCTCAAATACTTTTATGATGTGCAATGTTAGTGCAACTGGTCTATAATTCTTTGCCAATGCTTTGCTCCCTCCCTTGTGTAGAGGCGCTACGTCTGCTACTTTAAGTGCATCTGGTATCTCCCCCGTGTCCAAGCTCTTCCTCCACACTATACTGAGTGCCTGTGCTACCGGCACTTTACATTTCTTTATAAATATTGAATTCCATGAGTCTGGACCTGGGGCCGAATGCATGGGCATGTTTTCAATTTCTCTTTCAAAATTTAGTGCGCTCGTGTTGATATCAGTTATATTTACAGAGGTTTGAATATCCCGCATAAAGAAATTGTCTGGATCTTCCACTTTCATGTTGTTTATTGGAGTGCTAAACATGTCCTCATTCTGCTTCTGAGATAAGACAAACGATACTGAGATAATGACAAACGTACCAAAACAACCAAGGATACCACAGCAGGGATGCAGGAAACATAACAATCCATGCACCTCCTAACCCTTAACGAAGTGGACATAGCCCAAACCAGAGATATGTCACACCCAGGGGAAACGACAGTCCCCAAGATTAAGAGAGCATGAACTAATTGAAAACTCCAAAAAACCAGCGTTGAATGTAATGAAACGCCATTTTCTGGGTGAGTCCCGGAGGCTCCCCGGAGCTATCCAGGCTGAATGGATATGTATAACTTTCTGGCATCAGTCAAAGTGCTAGGAGTTCTTGCCTACCGGGGACCACGAGCCAGAACCTGGCCCCTTCAGAGAGGCATGAGGAGCAATGGCCTATAGAAACCCCCTTGTGACTGGGAGCATTCTATGTCTGCCATTGACAGGGACAGGCACCCAGAAAGGTAGGTGCCCCAAAACAAACCCCTATTCTGGTGAAATTATTGCTACCGAAAGCCGAACGAGTGGACAGAACTCCCCAAACAAAATTATCAAACTAGCATGACGTCATCACGTCGCTGTGCCATCGTCTGCGCAACCCCCCCTCCCCGAGAGGGGGAAGGGGGAGCCCCAGACCCTCCACGCCGGCGATCCAACTGGCAGTTCTTAGGCTGGATGTCAAAATATGCGAAAAACGCCGCCGACCGGAGGGAGGGAGGGATGCCGGGGAGCCTCCGGGACTCACCCAGAAAATGGCATTTCATAACATTCAACGCTGGTTTTCTGGGGGGAGCCCCGTCG